ATAATGAAGAAAGTTTTTTCTCTAGTGATACCTATTAATAACACATTGAAAACTATGTCAAGGAAAAGTGGCAGGCATTATCTATAATTTGAGGCTCTGTAATCTTTCGTCATACGGCCTGGTTTTTTTTTTCCAGTTAGGAAAGTTCTTAGGGATTACCTAACACTCCTTTTCACAGCATGCTCTCTTGGTCTCACTTCTTGGGTTCAGTTTGGGTCACTCACTACACTTTGCATACCTGAGGCAAGATCTACCATTGAAGCTATTCTTCAGCCTTATCTACATGACTGCATATCACACTAAACCCTGTAGAAAGGGATACATTGGGAGGGACTAAAGAGTCAGGAAAGGAGAGTGGGCAAATGGCTCAGTGGGTAAAGTGCTTGCTTTGCAAGTACAAAGTCCTGAATTTGGGTCCCCAGTACCCGTGTTAAAAAAAAAAAAAAAAAAAAAAAAAAAAAAACTAGGCATGGTGTAAACTCAGCCCTGGGTCAGACAGGAGGAGCTCTGTAGTGAACTAACCAGTCCTTACAACCTACAGCCTTTTGCTAAGTTAACTAGCCATCTAACTCATTCATGTAGGTCTGTTATTGCTTCAAATCTGAAAAAGATGAAAGGAGCTTATCAAAGGAGCCTTTTCCCAAAGTATACTATACTCCTTGCACGCCAGTTATCTCTAATTGGGTATTTTGGAAATAGCCCAAGTAAATCTGTTAATTTAATGAAAGTTAAACACATTTCTTTGCTGCAATATTTCTTAGCAGCTTATTTCCTCCAGTTCTGGGATTGAAGCTAGGGCCTTGAGGAATGGTAAACAAGTACTCTGCCACCGAGGTAAAGCTTTACTCCTTGCTATTTTGAGACAAAGTCTTGCCATGTAGCCTATGCTGGCTTCAAACTTACAATCCTGTCTCTGCTTCCCAGGTGCTTACATATCATACCTTCTTAGAGGCTTTGGTATGGGATTCTAAGAAGATGTTATAGAGATTTCTAAGCCCATGTGATTATACAAGTCATCCTTTGAAAAGGATCTCAGGGGATGGGTGTTTTACAGAGTACATCCTGAGAGCACTGGGGGAAGAAGTCAGTATTCTCTGAGTATTATAACTGGTGGCTATAATTGTACTATTCCCAAGGTCAGACAATATGGAAAAAAATGACTAAATTTGGTTTGAAATCTGGAAGTTTCATAGTATGTGTGTATTCAATATTGCTACTATGCTTTGCCCACTCTCTCTGTTAGACCATTTTCTGCTACTATGACAAAATGTCTGAGGCTAGGTACAGTACAAAGGAAAGCAGTTCACCTAGCTTAGTTTTGGAGACTGAAAGTCCAAACAGCATAATACTAGGTTTGGTGAAGGCCCCTTTGGCTGGTAGGTGACATCCTGGTGTCAGCATGTGTGAGAAGACGTCATATAGCCAGACAAGGTCCCAGAAAGCTGGGAGTGGCCAGGCTCATTTTTTGTTTTGTTTGTTTGTTTGTTTTTTTATTTTTAGAACTCACTTGCATGAAACTAAATGGGGTTCCATAAGAAATTACTTTTTTAAAATTATCTATTTTAAATTTGTTTTTCTTGGTTTTGAGACAGGGTTTCTTTATATTGTTTTGAAGCCTGTCCTGGAACTCGCTCTATAGATCAGGCTGGCCTCGAACTCACAGAGATCCACCTGCCTCTGCCTCCTGAGTGCTGGGATTAAAGGCATGTGCCATCAATGCCTGGCTTCTATTTTAAAATTTTATTTCATGAATTTATTCATGGTGAGGGCACACCACAGCACACACATAGAGGTCAGAGGACAATTAGTAAGAGCCAATGCTCCCTTTATACTATGAGGATTCTAGGAGTCAAACTTAGGTTACTAGGTTTGGCAGTAAGTACTTTTACCCACAGAGCCATCTTGCACACCCTCCATGAGAAATTACTTGATCTCTCCCAAGGATGGTGAATACAATGACCCAGTAACTTTATTCTATAGACCCCACCTTTTAGAAGCTCCAACACCTCTTACCAATTACACTGGTGGAGCCGGTTGAAACTCATGGTGTCAACAAAAGGAGTACAGACCATAGCATTTTATATTATATGAATGTATTTTATAGAAAAACATCAAAATTTATATTCTTCTGCTTAACACCTTTAATATTTTAACCCTTCTTATAAACTTACTAATACTGTATGGCTACTGGTGTGATGGTGCACACCTTCAATCCCAGCCCCTTAGAGGCAGAGGCAGCTGGCCCTCTGATTTTAAGGCCAGCCTGGTCTATATAATGGGTTCCCAGAGAGAGATAGCGAGAGACTCAAACAGACACTGCATTAAACATTGTTTTTATTTCTTTTCCTGCTAAACTTTCTCCACTACAATTAAAAATTGTAAAAAGTGGTAATTGCTAGTTCCCTTCTAACATTCACAATTCTAGATTCCCCTTCCCCACTTCCAAGACACACGGTGGCCCTTACTTACTGAACTAGGGTTCTTCATGGAATCCTAACTATTGTATAAACCAAATATCTCTGATTTTATTCTTTTACTTTTTTAGACAGGGTCTCACTATGTAGCACCCACAACTTGGTTGGCCTAGAACTCAGAGACTTGTTTACCATTCCTTCCCAAATGCTGGGATTAAAAGCTTGTATCACCACGCTCAGTGTTGTTCCCTTTTGAGATAAGTCTGGTTGTGTAGCCTGGGTTGGCTACCCAAGATACTCCTTCTACCTTGGAAAGATAGGGAAATGTCACCATGCCCAGCTGATCTTGTCTCTTTTTGTTATGCAAATAGTTAAAACCCACTAGAATGTTGATGTAAATACTAAAAGGAAAACCAGTCATGATAATTACCAGCTGGCCATTTCATTGTTCTGTAATATATTTGTTTATGCTTTCAAAGTACATCATGAGCTCTCTAAGGTAAGCTCCTTTTTTGCTTCATGTCTAATCACCAATAAAACTTCTAATACAATAGTTCCCACAAATTCCTTGGGGGATGATTGTAATGACAGTTTTATAACTCCAAATACCCTTGAATGTAATAAAGCGTGCCAGGAGATCTATGATTCAAAGTAAATATCTGCATTTTCTAGAAGGTGTGGGATGATTTAACCATAATTGTTATGAATGCAGATTTATGGTGAAGCATTCTGCTAAATGCTAGAAAGGCAAGTATTATAGGTAGCTACTGAAATATGTATGTATTTATGAATATATCATTGGTAAAGAGCCAAGCAAAACAAAGTATGACTCATTGTAAACATTCTCTAACTGTCCTTACATTATTATGGGGCAGTACTGGGTAGTTTTAATAATGTATATATAAAATGAATTGCTATTTATATTCTTCTCAAAGGCATTACAAACCTGTCAACTAGCAAAAGTCTTTACATTCTAACAGATTAATGATACTTTAATTTCCTGTCAATAGGTTGAGGAATTACTTTTAAGTAAGTAGACATGGAAGATTTTACTACCTGTAAAGGGCAGAGCAAGCACTCTCAGTAAATGCTTTTTTTTTTTTTTTTTTTTTTTTTCTTTTTCCTGACCCTTAAATATCTCAAAGTTCAACCCTGAGTAAGACCACAGATGGATGACTCAGTAGCCAAGTGGTTGAACTGGAAGGAATCTTAGAAATTATAAACATATCTTCACTTCACAGATGAGGTGCAGCAAGTTTTAAAAACTGTTTCATTCAGAGGAGGCTGATTGAAAAGGGAACAAAAATGTCTTCGTAGAATTCTAAACAAAATAAAAAACCTTTAACACCTGTGAAAGCTAGCCTTACCATTTCTCTACTCTCCACACTAAAGAAAGAAAACTAATATACAAGCAAGCAAGGCAGTTCTCTTATTATCTCTGGGAATTAGTGTCAGACCCAGGAATGGAAGCCAAAAATTTCAATGTTAGACCTTCTACAGATCTAGGCTGCTCCTCATTTGGAATGGATGCTGGTTGGGAGTGAGGGGAAATCATGTTTGGGAGTTCCTTAATGGAGTTCTTTATTTCACAAGCAGAGTACTTGCTGAGTGATGTGAAAATGCTTGCCTACAGGAGTTCAATTGATCATGTGATTTTTTAAGAAACAAAACAGTACATTACCAGCTTTCTTACCTCCCTTTAAAATAAAGTACTCTTCGATCCCAGAAACTGGAGATACGCTTTGCGATTTGATCTCAAATATCTAAGGAATTCAGTTTCACTTGCTTTATATTTCTGTAATGTCAGCCGTCTTTGTACAATCTTTCAGGTTCTTCAATGGACATTTAGAATGCGACCATTTACTTGAGACCCTCCATTTAGAAAAGTATTTTCTCTTGTTATCACGCCAGAACGTTAAGTACTGATCAATTAAATAAAGGGAAAGTAGCAGACAAACCTCAATATTATCTTTTTTCACATCAAAGCACCAAAGATGACAAACTTTTTAAGGCAACTCCACCCTTCAAACACAAAACACACACACACACACACCCGCAGTTATGTCGGTGACTCCGAATTTGCATTTAGTTGTTTTCTAGGACCTACTCCCAGTATTTTCTGATGACCACACTTGGTGCTGTCAGATATTCAAACCAATTACCGCATGCATCCTTCTGTGAACCGTTCTGAGGGAGTCCAGGTTATAACCTCGGCTGGACTTCTGCTTGCTAAAAGCTAAAGATTTGTCACACATCAGGGAACCCCACTAGGCATTCCTCCTGGCCTGAAAGAGGCTTGGTCAAGGCTGAAGAAGAGACGCTAGGAGGAAGGTCGTTGAATCAGAGCGTTTATGCGAAGTCGAGTTTGGGGAGAAGGCAGCGGGACCCAAATGCCTAGAGGAGCAGATAGAGCTGGGGAAGACTAGGCGACCCTGGTGCGGACAGGAAAGGAGACAGGGGCAGGAATCCGCGCTAAAGAAAGAAGAAACTGCGGAGGAGGAAGTAGCCCCTGGAAGGGGAGGGGCGAAGGGGAAGCGAGCACCGAGCGCTAGCACTTTCGAGAGCTCATAGCCGGTTCCTCCCTACCTGAAGCGCTCCTGCCCCGCCGTGTCCCAGAGCTGCAGCTTGATTCTCTTGCCCGGCTCAATCTCCAGTAGGCGCGAGAAGAAGTCGACTCCAACTGTGGGGTCGCAGGCTGGGGAGCGCAGCCCTGGGAAGCGGCCCTGGGTGAAGCGGTGCAGGAGGCACGACTTGCCCACCGTGGAGTCCCCGATCACGATGAGGCGGAACTGGTAGATCCAGATAGTCTCCATGGCTTATGTGCCCCGCGCGATCTGGGGCAAGTGCTGCCACGGGAACTGTCCCTTCAGCACCTCCGCGGTGCGCGCTCGCTGGCTTCCAGCATCTTCCTGCGGCTGCGGCCGCCGCCTGGTCGCCGCCCTCTGGGGAGGGAGGGGCGGGACCGCGGGCAGGGGGCGTAGACCTGTTCTGCCTGGGGCTGGGCTTGAGGATAAAGGGCGGGGCCACAAGTTTAGGGAGGGATCGCAGGTACAAGTAGGATCTAACTTGCAGAGGCGGTGTCTTGGGCTCAGGGTGGGGCCCCAACTATAAGGGGCGGAAATTGACGTTCTGGGGGGGCGGGTCTTAGAGCATACTGGGCTGAGGGTCTCGGACTAGGGGGTCGTAGCGAGAGCCTCCGCCTAGTATGTGGGGAAATGAGAGATCGCCAGCCGGTAAGGCACTCTGGTCCAGCTCTTGCTGGACGCGGACCAGGAAGTAGGTGTGGCGAGAGGACGTGACAGCAATAGTAACCAATAAAAACATTGGAGGGCTAAACCCCAGAAAGTTCAGCCAATTGGAAGTGAGAGTCATTTTCTCTCACGCGTCTCGGTGGGCCCCTCATATTATTAGGACTCTGATCTCGGAAGTAGGCCAGGCGCTAACGTGTTTGTGTGTGGATTCCTGGTGTCCTGGTTTTCAGAAGACTTTAGTTAGCGGCTTTCTGCTGAAGGAAACGCATTTGCAACCCTAGTTCCTATTGTTTCTGTTTAGGAATGCCTGTTGCTTTTTGCCACAGCGTTTTCAGGATTAGACAAGAGAAACGTCCGGTTCTAGCCCCGAGCTCTCTGTGGGGCCCTCCAGCTTGCGAAAAAGTTGAAATGTTGAGAAGCGCATACAAAGTCATCATTATCCTCGGTCAAAGCTGCTCTCTTCTTGCCTATGGCCAATGATCTACTGAATGAAGCAGAACTTAAATTTTGGTGAAATTTTATTATGTTCTTATCCCTTCCCTCAAGTTTGATGATAGCTAAATCAAAAGTTCTCTTCTTGCCTGGGGATGTAGCTCAGTTGGTAGAGTTGTTTAGCAACATGAAACCCTGGCTTCAGTCCCCAGTTCCATATAAAACAGGCTTGGCGGGCCACAGCTGTAATTCCTGCACATGGGGGCACGAGATCGGAAGTTTAAGATTATCCTCGGCTACACAGCGAGTTATAGGCCGACTTAGCTTTTAAAGATGAAATCAAAGTCCAACAGCTTTAAGGTGTGCATTTATTAGGCCAAAATTTGTGACTAGAGCTCCCTATAGCTCAATGGGGGCGCTCTTGCTTAGCAAACATGAAACCTTAGGTTCCATTGGCGATACTGCAATACTTTTTTCCCAACCATTCCGTTCTTTTCTTGCATAGTCTAACAATTGCTACTCATCCTTCCTTTCTTGTTTTGGAGAAAAAAAGCATCACTTTCATAGAGGCGTTCTTTTCTCGGCCATGCATCTTTAGGGTGATTTCATCCCAATTAATGGATTTTTATTTTATGTAGTGTGTATCTTGTCTCCCCTTCTACCGTTGTTTCTCCTCCTCGATCTACAAATGCATTCGAGTAGTCACAGTCCTGAAACTAATCAAAACCCTCTCCGTGATGCTCCTTCAGCTTTGCCCCCTCCATCATTCTCCTTTTCACATATTCAAAGAGCAATCGATCCTCATTTTCATTCACAAAATCATCTTTAGCAATCCTTCTTACACTTTCTGTGCCTCATACACTCATGACACAATTGCTTCAGATAAGTCCCCCTGAGATCCCCTAATTATCAAACCCAGCTCCCCTTCCCCATCATCCTCACCTCTGACCCCACCATTCTCCCTGACAGGTTATATCTCACTCAGCACCCCTCCATTTAAGGGTAGCCAAGTGACAGTTATGAACTGAGACATAAGAGTGCTTTCTTTAGTAAATATTTTTTTCTTTGTGAGGGCATGGCAACCTTTTTGTGTGTATTTTTCTCCTCCTCTTTTTCATGATGATATGGGTATTTTGTCTACCTTACATCTGTGCACCGTTTGGGGGTTTGGTGCAGGGAGAGGTATGAAGAGTGTAACAGAAGGCGGTGCGTGCCTTTAATCCCATAGCTAGGGAGAGACAGACTGGCGGATCTGGGAGTTGGAGGCCAGCCTGGTCTACAGAGTGACAGCTAAGGCTTTTACACAGAGAAACTTTGTCTCAACCTCCCCCCCCCCACTTCTGCACCCCAGAGAGAGAGAGAGAGAGAGAGAGAGAGAGAGAGAGAGAGAGAGAGAGAGAGAGAGAGATCAATAGGCTTCAAGCTGACATGTGGGTGCTGAGTATTGGACCTGGGTCCTCTGGAAAAGGGGCCAGTGCTTTGAACCACTGAGCCATCTCTGCAACTGCTTGTCTTTAATTCTTTCCCTTTTCTTCTTACCTGAAATATGGTATAACAACCATCTTGTAACTTTAAAGATGAAGGTCTAAATGTGACTTTGTTGATCTGTGGTGCCAGCTATGTTATAGACAAGTAAATCAGTACCCATTAAACTATTGGTAGATGGGCTTTCTTTTCTTTCTTTCACGTGTGTGTGTGTGTGTGTGTAACATATAAATAAATATGAATTAAAAAATTTGGCTGGCTGCAAGCAAGCCTGTAGGGCATTTTCTTAATTAATGATTGATATGGAAGGGCCCAGCCCATTGTAGGTAGGGACACTTCTAGGCTAGTAGTCCTGGGTGCTATAAGAAAGCAGGCTAAACAAGCCATGAAGTGTAACAAGCTTTCTTGGACTGCCATCTCCCAAATCACAACACAGAGACTTATTATTAATTAATAGATGCTCAGCCTTAGATTTAGGCTTGTTTCTAGTTAGTTTTTCCCCTGTAACTTAAATTAGCCCATTTCTATTAATCCATGTGCTGCCCTGAGTCTTGTTTGCCTCATCTACTGTACTGTCCATCTTGCTTTCCTGCTTCTTCCATGTCTGGCTGGCTGCCCTCTTCTCTCTGCCCACAAACCCGCCTCACCCTCTCTGCCTAGCCATTGGCGCTCTCTCTCTCTCTCTCTCTCTCTCTCTCTCTCTCTCTCTCTCTCTCTCTCCCTCCCCCCTCTCTTTCTTTTTTGTTTCTTTCTTTTTTTTCCAAGACAGGGTTTCTCTGTATAACAGTCCTGGCAGTCCTTGTTGTCCTGGAATTCTCTCTGTAGTCCAGGCTGGGCTCAAACTCACAGAGATCCTCCTGCCTCTGCCTGCCAAGTGCTGGGATTAAAGGTGTGCACCACTACTGCCTGGTAGCCATTCAGCTTCCCCCCCACCCCAGCTTTTTATTAGACTAATCAGGTGCCTTAGGCAGGCAAGGTGCAATACCAACACATATTTACATAGTTAAACAAATGTAGCAGAAACAAAAACAGCATATCTTTACATAATTAAATGCAGCATAAACAAATAAGATGCATCTTTACATAGTTAAACGATTATTCTGCAACACAAGCAAATGTAACACATCTTTATTTAGTTAAACAAATATTCTATTCCCCAACAATGAGGAGCAAGCCAGTAAGCAGCACTCCTCCATGGCCTCTGAAACAGCTACTGTCTCCAGAGTTTTGCCTTGAGTTCCTACCCTGACTCCCTGCAATGGTGGTTTGAGATATGGAAGAATAAGCAAAATAAACCCTCTCCTCTCCAAGTTGCTTTTGATCATGTTTCATCACAACAATTGAGGCCCTAACCAAGACAGGGTATATACCCAGGAATGACAGAACTTGGTCTTGGTGTCATATTGTAGTTTCTTCAGGGTTTTTTTTTTTTTTTTGGATTCTTCATACTGATATCTTCTGATCCCTTGTGTCAATATGTAACTTTGAATTAAAACATTTTTTAAAATTAAATTTCTGTGTTTATTTTTAAGTGTGTGTGTTCTTTTGGAGGATTACTTTTCTCCCACCATGTATGTTCCAGGAACTAAACTCAGTCCTCAGGCTTTGAAGGTGCCTTTACTTACTGAATTATCTCACTGGTCCTTACTCCTGGAATAATAAATCTGATGTATGATTATAAATATAGACTTTGATGTCTTGTGAAGAATAAGGAAGGCAGAGACACAAATTGAACCTTGGTAGAAACTAAGTGGGTCAATAGACAGCTGCGCTTGCCAGCACCATTCTACCTGAGTGTACTTTAGCAACAGCTGAGGAGGGATGAGGCTCAGCTCATCTAGTTTGGTCCTTTGTAGGGACATCTCTGAGCACAAACGGTGGGGGGTATGGAGGGAATAAACTATTCCATCACATGTTTGTAAGTATTATATCTTACTCAGACAAAGATTATGAATCAAATGTTATCTCAATGCTGGGAGTGTAGTTAAAGGTAGAGCCATAAAATTGAATAGTCCCTTTGGCTTGGGATAAGATAGATGATCTCTCTCGAAGAGGAAAATGTCTTAGATTGGCGGGATCAGCCTTAGAGAGGAAATATACATCACTCCAGGAAGTCCTATGGGATGAAAGAGTGTCTTGGATTCCCAAAGATGTATACAGTGGAACGTAACTTTAATAGCTTCACCCAGGGCAAGTTTAAGTCTTATATAACTTAATGCATATTCCAACCATTCAAAATGAGATAATGTGGTTAACACAACCAGTAAACATATACAAGTTTATAATTGGTAAGGTAATTAAACTTTAGTCTATGCCTTTCAAATGTAAGAATATTTTATATAATCTGTTTAATTTTTAGAACATTTCATACAACATGTCTTGATCATAATCACTCCTCACTCCCCCAGTTCCTCTCAGAGCCCCCATCCTCCACCTGTTTGTGTCCTCTCTCTTTTAGTTACTTATTTTTTGGAAGACACTGTCACAGCAGTTCTCTTGGTCCTCTGGCTCCTACAGTCTTTCCAGCCCTCTTCTACAATGTTCCCTGAGCCTTAAGTGAAGAGATTGAATTGTAAACGTATTAATTAGTGCAGGCACCCAAAGGTTCCAAAGTAAGAATATTTAAACAGATGTCTTTTAAATGTATGTATGTATTTATTTTTTTAGACAAGGTTTCTTTGTGTAGGAGTCCTGGTTATCCTAGAATTTGCTCTGTAGAGCAGGCTGGCCTCAAACTCACAGAGATCTGCCTGCCTCTGCCTCCCAAGTGCTGGGATTAAGGGCTTGT